AGCCACAAAACTAGCAATGATTCCATCCAGAACAAGTAACTGAACCCTGGAGAACTTAGGGAAGAGACCAGGTAAAAATATACATTTCACATTTTCAGCTCATAGGACAACTATCTCATGAGTGAGTAAGAAAATGCAAAAGTGGAGCAGAGAATTGCTCAGAGCTACCAGCTCTGAAATCACCATTAGGCTGTTTATTCTGGGGCCTCATCTATTCTGAGGCTAGGAGGGATGTCTGCCTTTCCTTCCTGCCCTACCAATGCAGGCCTTTTCTCCATTCTACTAATTAAAAGTGGGTGAAACCTCAGTTAGTCACTTTTTCAGAGGACAAGACTAGGTGTGAGCTGAAAATACTGGTCTCAAAAGAGACTGGATTTAGGCAGGCTCAGGAGATGTCAGTTGTGTCTATTTCACTCCTTTGCTGGCACAGTTAACTACACATGCTGGGAAAAACAGTTTTCCTATGAAGCACAAGCATCCCACAACACTAGCACTGAAGCCATCGTGGGCCCACCCAGGGGAAGCCACAGCCCTTGACCTGGCCACAGATGCTTGCCTGGGATCCAGCCTGACCCGTAAAGGTACCCGATCCTTCTAGCTTCAGTGTTAAGAAAGCACAGTGCTACATGGATCACTCCTCCAACCTCTATGGTCACATCGGAGGCATCTTATCCAATCTGTGGCATTACATTTTGCTGATAATGCCCAAAGTTATCTCTGCAGCCCAGATCTCTCCTATGAACTCCAGATTCTAACTTACAGTTGCCTTCTTGATTAACAGTCCAAAAGGCATCTCAGACTTAGGACACCCCAAGTCTGCCCATGACTAACTCCTCTCCTCTCCCCATCTCCTAATCTACCCTTCCTATTATCTTCCCCACCCTTTTAGTTCCCCAGGTCCAAGACCTCACAGTAAATCCTCGCTCTTACACCCCTCATCTAAATCATCACCAATTTCTGTTAGTTCTGCCTTGGGGACAGACCCAGAATCTGACCATTACTACCAGCTGGATAAATATAGAGGGGCGGCATTCCTTCTGGAGGCTTCAAGGGAAAATCCATTCTCTTGGCTTCTTCAGCTTCTGGAAGCCTCCTGCATTTCTTGGCTCATGGCCCCTTCCATGCATGACTCCAACCTCGTGACTCTGTCATCACATCTACTACTTAACTCTCTTACCCTCCTGCTTCCCTCTTTTAAGAAACCTATGACTATAGTGGGCTTACTACCTGGGTAATGCAGAATAATCTCCCCATCTCAAGATTCTAAATCACATCTGTAAAGTCCTTTTTCCATGCAAGGGAACATAACCCCATGTGATTAAGATGAGGGCATCTTTGGGGGGCCATTATTCACCCTCCTACACCATCTCACCCCAAGTAAAAGCCAAAGACCTTACAATGCCCACAAGTTCCCCGGGAATATATTCTCCACTTTCTAGCTAAGCTTGTCTCTTCCAAATCTCCCCTTCGCTCACTCTGTTCCAGCTACACTAGTCTTGCTGTTATTCCTCAACACACAAGCCCATCTCAGTCCTTGTCACTTGCTGCTCCCTCTGCCAGAGAAGTTCTCTTCCTCCTTTAGGTCTCTGCTTAAAAGACACCACCTTATGAGTGAGGCTTTCTCTGCTGACCCTGTAATAGTGCAACCCCCAGGCCCCCAATTTGGACACTCCCTTCCACGCTAATTTTTCTTCCTAGAGCACCTCTCATATCTGATGTGCTATTGATCCACCTGAGGGGTGTTTTATCTCTTGTTGTATCCCCAGAAAATAAAACATGAAGCCAGGACTCAATACAGCTGTTGAATATGTCAATTTTACTTTACTAGAAAAGGAAATTCCTTGGAGACAAGACCTGGCCTAAAGTAGGAGCTCAGTAAATGTTTGAATGAATGAATGAATAAATGGATGGGTAAAAGACAGACCCAATTTACATCTAATATTCTATGGATAAACTGGACTAACATAAAATCAAGTGAGTTCTTGTGTAGGAATCAGGAATAATGGTTAAAGCATGCACAACAAAAGGAAAGTAATACAATTACATATTAAAGCTCCATTCCAGCCCGACTATTTTGCTGTGTCCCTGCATGCTCAACTGGATTCCCTTGCTTGGCCCAAGTACTCTTACCAACAATGTTTCTAGTTAATAGCTTCGAACTTATTTTTAAAGGAAATTTCACAGAAATCTCAAAAGCATTTATCTTGCTTTTCAGATATGTAAAAAATAAATATACAGGGAAGAGACCATTACCCACACTTTAAAATGCAACCAGAACAAACCTACATCCAGTGGATGCTGCTGGAACAGATATAACAAGCTGCAAGTACATCGGGCCCTCACGTTGGTCCTTAGCCACGTGAGCTCCTTGCGTATCCAGCACACAGACACACTCCTGCTGTGACTTGGTGTTTACTGGGGGAAGAGCCACGGCAACAATGCAAATGACTTGGAATGGAACAAGTAAATAGCAATTTGTTTCCTAGAGGTATCTCATCCGCATTTTGCAAAATGTTACTCTGGCCCTGCTGCTCACACACCAGCCAAGCAGGCCATGCAACTGGCCATATAGTGTCATCTGTCCTCCTGCCACTGCCTGGGGAAGTGAGCCAGTGCTGCATCTTGTTCACACTTGGAAACCACTTTCTAGGAATCCTTCCACTGGCACAAACAGGAAGGCGGACACCACAGTAGTTAGGAACGTGGACCTGGAGGACAGCCTGTCAGGGCTTAAATATCACTTCTGTGACTCACTAACTGAGTATCTAGGAACATGTCACCTACCCTCTCCAAGCCTCTGTTTCCTCATCTCTAAAAAGGCAGCTTACTCTGCTTATGACAATTACAGGAGAGAGCACAAGGAAAGCACTTATAATTGTGCCTTGGCACACAGGCCTTAATGCATACTGGCTATTATTATATCATTGTCTATTCTACTTGACTTTTTAAAAAGAATCAGTGTTTAAAAATAAATAATACATCTGTCTTTATCTTGAGTTTAGATTAGTAACAGAAACTCCCAGGGGTTTATCATTTATTTCCAGCTAAGTGTTTTCCTGCAATTAGGGAAAACTGCCACCAGGCAGATGTTAAGATTAAACTTTTCTAGATATGGCTTACACAAAAAAATCGTTATTTCAAGACTTTCTCCTTAATTCTACTGCTGAACAAAAAATATATAAGGTGTTATGAGAGAGCTTAAAAGAAATGTTAGACAAATATGATAACATGCAGTATTTAAATAGGATAAGCAATACAAGTAAAATTTTAAGATACAAATACATAGGTATGTATAGGTTCAACTAGATTTTTTCTAACAAATTATCTGATAGAAATCACTGATTAATGCCCTACATTGCCTCACTGCTTGACGAATTAAGATAAAACAAAATACACTTCTTTTTCATTTCTCCTAATTACATTAACCAAGGATGCACAAAGTGAGCTTTAACAACTTAGACAAGAACTAGTCTCCTGCAGGGAAATTCTGATTCGGTAGGTTGGGAGGGAGCAGGTATTTGTTGTGCAAAAGCTTGCCTGGTATTATTAACACTAACACCTATGGTTACCAATCACTATAAAGAATCTTTCTTTTGACAAGAAACTTTCTGCCTTAAAAGGTTTGCAAAGCCATTTTCTTGATCCTGTAGCCTGCTCCTAAAGTGAGACTGGACTGCTTGTAACTCAGAGAAGGGAAGGTGTTGAGTTACTCCTCTGCCCTTAAAAGCAGCACAACTCTCTCTAGACCTTTTACACTGACAAAGGGCTAAAGGAGATGGGAAGAGTGGGCATAAAACTTTGCATATGTTCCATGGAATCATGTAAATGCTTTCCCTTTAGACCAGGACTGCCCAACAGAACTCCCTGTGCTGATGGAAATGTTCTCTACCTGCGTTTTCCACACGTGGCTATTGCGCACCGGAAATGTGGCTCATGGCTTCCAAGCTAAACAGCACAGCTCTGTACAGAAGTCAGACTCTGTCTGCTCACAGCCTTCCCAAAACCTTGCTAGTCTATCCGAGGATCTCACTTCATTCATTCATTCAAGACATATACCTTTGGCACATACCCCGTGCACATAGCAGGCATAGGGGAACAAATACAGAACCCCCTGGTCTCAGTGTGCTTACATTCTAATTTATAACTGGTCTCTTTAAAATCACCAGACTCATCTGAGGTTCCTCCTCAAAGAACTTTGGATTAAATGTGTTTTTTTCCTTAAATGATGGTATTCTGCAGCAGAAAAGCAAATAGTCTGTTTGAGAAACAATGCAGTTCAATGTATAGAAGAAATTAGAGGATACCAAGGGTGTGCACAAGCAAAGTGAACTCATGAGCCTTTTCTGGAAAGGCAGCATAGCCTCAGCCACAGAAGAACAGCTTCGGGCATTATTTCCGAGAAGGTCATGAGCCCATTCTGGGCCACTTAAGTGACGAGACAGAGTAGTAAGATTCAGCTGCCAATGGGACAGGACTGAGAAATTCCTAGCTAGAACACAATCTGAATTCCCACTGGAAGTAGAATCAGGATAGAACCAAATTCATGGCTGGAAAAGGTATTTTCAAACATCTGTAAGAAACACTATTTGGCAAAAGTTTTCAAGAGATTAAAATTTAAAATACGGGATTAAAAAAAATAAGAGTGATGGTTTCATTTACAAACATGAAGCACATCCCCAGCTAGTAAAGGAGGAGTCATAGATAAGACCATCACCACTAATCCCGGGCACTTTTCACCACAGGGTGCAGGTAGCTGAGCTGGGTCATCTTTCATCGGCTGTCTGGATACTGCAGCTGCAGCTGCTGAACACAGCGTCAGGGCAGGTCAAACCAGCCACAGCCGAACTCCGCTCAAAGACAAACGCTAGTAGAAATGATCAAAACTGGGTGCCTCTGTGGAGGGTACTTGCCAAGAGAAGAGAGGGTTTTTCAGAATTGCTGTATTTGGATAATCGGTATAAATTAAATCTAAAACTGAGCTCATTTATCAGCAAGCTTACCGAGTTCTGGGGGCAGAACGGTCAGGCGGTTCCCCTGAATGTGGAGCTCCTTAAGCTGAGTAAGCTCCCCGATTTCCTTAGGCAGCGAGATCAGGTCGTTATCCCTAAGGCTGAGCTAAACATAAGAAAATAAGGAGTTATCAAAACAATTTCACATAAATTCCCTTAAAGAGGCACTCAACATAAACTGTGTTCTCTTCCATGCCCTCTCTTCTTTAAGCCTCAATCCTTTCAATTTATTTACAAGGGTCTACAGATGAATAAGAAACAGTATCAAGAGTAGTGGTTTATTCCTGCAAAACGAACCCGACTCCTACTCAAATTGACTTGATTCTACTCCTACAGGGGCTGCAGAAGTGAATTGATTTTCTCAGAATTTAGATAAATTACTTACTATCTGCAACTTTGTGAGCTTCCCAATATCTGGCGGCAGGATTTCAAAATCGTTGTCACTTAGATAGAGTGCACGCAGGGTGGCTGCAAATTAAACAGCAATATATAAACAGGGTGGCATGGAACCCAACCATTTGAGGTCCGATCAATACAAAGGAGTCAGCTTTGATTAATAACCCTGGCTTGGTGAAAAGCCTGTGACATACCTAGGGCTCACAATAATAACAAGCAGGTCAAACTTAGATTTACTGGCTTATTGTGGGGCTGGTGTGTTCAGGAAAACATCTATATCGAAAAGGACTGACACAATTAACAACTATGGGCACCAGTGGTTTTTGGCACAAAGTTTCAATACGCTTTCAGAAAAGATAGCTATTTTTCTCCTATTACTTCCGATTCACATTTCTTACTCCATTTGCATCCAAAGCAAAACAAAGAAAGCCACTGTGTCACTTATATCAGTACTTAGGGCAAAAGGACTACTTCATGTAAAGAGAAGTATGTTAAAAATAAATCAACAATTAAAGTCCTTCCAGTGGTGGAGGCCATAATCACTGTTCACTGTTTCCATAATCAGACTAATTACAGTTGAACCCTGAATAATGTGGAGGTTAGAGGCAATGACCCCTACACAGTCAAAAATCCACACATAACTTTTGACTCCCCAAAACTTAACTACTAATGGCCTCCTGTTGAGCAGAAGCCTTACGAAAAACATAGTCGATTAACACGTATTTCTTATGTTACATGTATTATATACTGTATTCTTACAATAAAGTAAGCTAGAGAAAAGAAAATGTTATTAAGAAAATCATAAGAGAAAATATATTTACTGTATTTATTGAAAAAATTCTATGTATATGTGGACCTGCACAGTTCAAATCCGTGTGTTCAAGGGTCAACTGTATCATTACTTGTTCCTATAGCCTTAGCAACAAAAAGAAATGAAGACAAAAGGGGCTAAAGAATGACATGGAGTTTAAAAATAGAGAAAATCCTAACTTAGGCAGAATACCACTAATCAGGAATTTGTTCACGATATTACACAACGATAACATGATCAAACTGCTAAAGGCTAAAATCTTAACAAATTTTTTTATCCTTGACCAAAAAGGAGTATAATGAGATGTATGTTTTTTTGCTGTTGTTGTTTACAGGTATTCAGTTACATTAGAATGTTTTAAAATTCGACAGAATTGTATGTTAATTTATGTAACAAAAAACAATCTCTTCCACAACCCAAGAATATACTTTAGAGTTGCTTTCACACGCTTGAGAAAGTCTGAGAGTATAGATAAGGTAAAAAAATGTAACTTTAGAGGCTAGCTCAGAAAATTTAGTATTTCTGGATGCGGTATATGTCACTATTTGGACAAGCAGAACACTCATTGAAGGAAAACAACTCTTTCCTAAATATTTCATGAGTTCTTGTAAAAACCATTTTTTCCTAATTTTTATGAGGATTTGCAAGAAGAGGCTATTTGCATATGAAAAGATAAAGTATGTTTAATTGTATACTATCAACAAAAGAGACTAGATCAACAGAAGTACTTTTTAAAAGGCTCAAAACAAGAATTATGACTGGAAATTTAAAAAATTCTGTCAGTTGTTTATTGATAGATATTTTTATAAATAAGTGATTGGAATATCTTTGGGCAAATACCCTATAAAAAGTTACCTGCAACATGGGAGGACACATATACATTTTTTTTGCATGTTCCTTAAAAAAGAAATTCAAACTCCTTAACTAAGTATCTCATTTAGATACACAATCTCCATCAGAATGTTAATATGACATTCCTAAGTCCACTTCAGTGCTGTGGTGTCAGATAACTATATATCAAATACGCATACTGCTGAGTATTGAGAAATATTCAAAAGGGATCTGCAACGAAAAAAAATATATATGCCCAATAATTTCTCTTGGAGTTTGGGCCCTGGCAAATAAATTTCACTTTTAGAACGCAAAGTACCACTTTAAGGAGATTTATAGAAGTAAAAGTTTCTTACTCAGGTAGAAGAAGTTTCCAGGAAGGGAATTTTCATTCAAGTTGTTGTAAGTCAAATCAAGGACCTCAAGAGCTGGGAGAGAGCCAAATCCTCGAGGCAAAGTGTTTAATCTATTCATGCTGTTGGTGGGGGGAAAAAATTCAAGATGTCACATACAAAACATTATGTTTAGACAAAATACTCAGATCACCTCTGTGTCACAGGCCTAAGAGCCATGTGTGAGGGGCTGAAAGTTTAAGAGGTCATAATTCTATAATCACTATTTTATTTAACCAGCCTAGTAATTTTAGTCCAAAAATCTATATGGCCTGAAACATTTGAAAATGTCTTAGTTATCATTTTCTCCAATGGCAATGCTCAATCATTATATTACACAGAAAATTAAATCATTACAAGATATCTGTCCTTCCAGAGCAGGGGTGGGGAACCTTTTTTTCTGCCAAGGGCCATTTGGATGTTTACAACATCATTCAAGGGTGATACAAAATTATCAACTTAAAAATTAGCTATGAAAAAAGCTCCTAGAGTTATTGAATTTTGAGTCCTGCCGGTGGTTGCCTTGGCAGGGCCAGACCAAATGATTTCCCAGGCCGCATAGAGCCTGTGGGCCGGACGTTCCCCGTCCCTGCTCTAGAGAAAAAGTTCCTTATGAATATAGCAATAACAACACCTCAAAAGAGACATAGTTAGCTTTGTAGTTTTCCAACCTGACTTTATTTCACTCATTCTTCCCAAAAGGAGGGAGGGAAAAATCACTCTTTTGTTCTGCAACTTCTAACATTCGAAATGATCTCCAATTAGAATGGTGGTTATGAGGGGCTTAGGGAGGAGAAATGGGGGGTGGTTGTTTCAGGAGTGTAGTTTCAGTTTTGCATGATGAGAAACTTCTGGAGATTGGCTGCACAATAAACTGAATCATACACTTGAAACAGTTAAGATGGTAAATTTTATGTTATGTGTATTTTACCACAATTAAATAAACATGTGTGTACACACACACACACACAAAATGTAAGGGAAATTATTTTTCTATTATTCTTTTATCATTTTCTTCAAGACCCTATTTTTCTTAACATGGTTCCCTTTGCGCATAGTTAAAAGTTGATTTTAAAATCATTTTTTTTAGAATCTAATACAGACTGGCAGATGTTGAAAGGTGGGAGGGACTGTGACACTACAAATAATTCTAGACACTGATCCTTCTCCTATGAGCTACAATCCTGTCCACACCCACCGAGGCCTCACAAGAAAGAGTGACCTTTACCTCTGGATGGGTAGAAAAGTCCTAGGTTAACTTTACATTTAACAAAATAACCCCCAGGATAATTTGCTGTAATGATAACTACTGACATTTTCTATGAAGTCACAATTTGTGAGTCACATTTATATCAAGTATTTCACCTCAATCACCAAAACTATTGTGTAATATAAGCAGGACAGCACTTATAATCATCTATGTAATGTTGAGATGAAGAAACAGGCTGAGAGAGGTTAAGTACCAAGGACTTTTGACTCAACTGATGAGGGTGACTGGTGTCTGAGAGGAACCAGCACCTCATGGAGGCCAAGGCACTCCCAATCCTTAGACTCCAATGCAAGGATCTGAGTAAACTGAAGGAAAGGTTAGATAGTGGGAAATGCACAGAAGTGTACCTTAGGTCAGTGATTTTCAATCTTTTTCACCTCACAGCACACATAAACTAATTAGTAAATTCTGCGGCACATCAAAAAATATATTATATTATGCATCTGATAAAAACAATAATTTTTTTTTTTATTCATTCACACTGGAAGGCTGTTTCTCTGTTGGCTGTTGTTATTTTTTTTACTTGACAATCTAAGGGAAAATTTAGTCAGTGACCCTGACTAAACAGTCAGTTATTGCATGTTTAAAAAATTTTTGTGGCACACTGGTTGAAAATCACTGCCTTAGAAGCAAGAGGCACCTCACTGAAGAGAGAGTTCCCATCTCATCTCCAGCATAAAGTGGGCCTGAATCTACTAAACTGCAGGTTTTCTTTCTCTCTGAGTGATAAACCAATACCCTCAACGTGTCCCTGTGCAGCTGATAGCAGTGACAGGAGTAGGCTCACTGACCTGGTGGGCGGAAAGGAAGCCCTAACTGAAATGCCTCAGAAAGTCCAGAGGCAGTGCTGACAACAGCCCCAGCTACAAACAATGCAAGAAGCAGTGAGACTACCGGTGGTTCTCTCGACACCAGCACACGCGTAAGCACCAGAAAGAGTCTATGTCTCAGCAGAATGATGGGTGGCATGTGCTGGGTTCCCCCACAGTGGGCACTAACATCCATCTCCATCTACACAGGTGGGACGTGTGTCTAAAGGGCCCCCCTCCGAGAGTGCTGGCAACTCAAGGTGTCCATGAGAGGTTACAATAGGGCAGTGAAAGAACAGATCTAGGTCTGAAGTTCAGCTCTAGCACCTGCTCACTGGATGACCTTGGAGAAGTTGTTCAGCTTCTCTGAGACCCAATTCCTCTTCATCTGGAAAATAAGGCTAGTGATACCTTCCTGGCAGGATTGCCAGGAGGATGAGAGAGAAAACATGTAAAGCACTTAACACAATTCTCATGGGTTCTCGAGAAATGATAGCTATAACTACAATTACCTTTCAGAAGGAGGTCTGAAAGGAACTTTGACTCAGCCCCAAAGAGGCAAGCTGCCCTTAGGAGAAGATCACTGTGGAAGCCTCAGCTATCAAGGGTGGTTTTTCTATTTGCATCGAACCAGCTTACTCTCAAGTCACTCCATGGTTGTGACTCAACCATGCCAAGTGGCATCAACTCTTTGTTTGCATGTGGACTTTTTCCAAATGTGTACTGGAAATGGGAAAATGCCTGCATGTGACAAAGAAATTTACAAAAGCAAATTTTTCTTTCTCTTCCTCAAAAGCCACAGGAATGCCCATACCAATGCTTCCCTTTTGGAACATTTAGATCTCTGGAGGTCCTCTTGGACTCCTATTTCACAAAACCTTCCTGGCTAAAGGCAAGAATTTTCTCACCTCTACCGCAACCTGCTCATATACTTAGCAAATAAAATAAAATAAAGAATCCAAATCCATGAACACTCAGTGCTGTGCCTAGTGAAAACTCCTAGCTCTTCATGAGATGAGTTCCAGCCTCTCACTAGTGGAAAGTTATTCCAGAAGAGTTGGCCATGGTTCTCTCAAAATGAGATTATCCCTGAAATAATTATTAACATTAAACTACATAGCTTTACATTTTTTTGAAAATAACTCTAAAGTGAGCCACATTTAAAGAATCAAGAACATAACTCAACTTTCCTTTACTTATTCAGATGACCTAAAAAATCCTTTCAGGTCTTGCAATCACGGGAATAAACAATAAATACCATATAAAACTTGAAAAGGAGCTTCGGTAGAGCGAGCCATTTGGATTATGCACACACACAGCCTAACTGCTCTACTGTAGTGTCTCCAGTGTGTGTATTTTCATTTTGGCTGCTTATTCTAAGGAGTGCTCTATATATCTTGCCTTAAATAGAACTGCATAGGTATAATTCTTTATGCCATTGAGGACAGAAGTATCCTTTCTTGAAACCCATCTTAATTTCTTTCCCAGAGAACTAAGAATTTTGTTCAAACTTTGACAGCCCCATCTATATAGCTAGATAATTAAATACAGAAAACTTTACACAATCAATAAAGCACTGAGAGCCAGAAATATGCAAATAGCTCCCAGGACAACAACGAGGTGACTAGGATGCATTCAATAAAAAAGGAAAGTTTACAACTCTGTCCTAAGGCATCTGGAACCCAGCCAAACAAATCCTGAGCTCATGGTCTTCCGAACCTGTCTCCATCTGTATTTCTATTTCAGCTGCCCACAGCAGATATCTAGGTATCATCCCATCTCATCCATAACTGTCTTGTTAGTTTTACCTCCTCTGTATTTTTCACATTCCCTCCCCTGCTTCCAATGTGACTGCCCAGGTTCACCAGGAACATTAATCTAGCATTCTCAAGGGGCTCCTGACCTCTAGCCATACCTCCCTGCAGCCTCTCCTCCACACAAGCCTTAATACAAAAATCTGACTTCCTCATCTCATAGCCACTACTCCACTGTGCAAACTCCTCAGTGGTCAGCAGGATAAAATTGGAGCTCCTTTACTTGACACACAAGGCTCTTTATTAGCACACTGACTCCTTGCTGATGATTTATTATTTAGTCTGTTTCCCCAATTGTGATGTATGCCCCATACAGGCTAGATGGACACTACCTACAATATAGCCTGGTACACAGCTGGGCATTCAAGAAATACTCATTAAATGAAGAGCAGACATTCATGCTTCTCTTCTCATCTCTGACCTTACCACTCCCTCCCTCATACTTCACACTGAGCAACACCAAACAACCTGCAATGCCTGGAATGTGCAGGGCTCTGAGCTTTTAAACACGTCATTCTCGCATCTGAGGTGTCTTCCCTCTGCTTGGGAATGTGATGAGAAATAGCTTCTGATGCAAGTCTGGGCTCAAATACTAACCCCGTAGGACCTTGTCTCCCGAGAATCTTCCCTGCAGACTATTGTGCTCCTAGTCCCTCTCCCACTGCACTTCTAGACACTGTCACACATCGGTGGCCCAGCTGTACACTGTCACTGTTCGCTGACAGGAGGCTCTGCCCTCATACTCATAGCCAGGGACTATGACTTTCACCATTGGCCTCCAACACTACCAAGGTTCCTGATGCAGAATAGGCACTTACGTAGTCACAAAATAAATGAATTAATAAATAGAACAATGATGATAACAGCTAACACTTATGTACTGCTTAATATGTGCCAGGTACTGTTCCTAGCACCTTATATGTAAATAACTTATTTAATACATGAAAAAATTAATAGTAAGAATAGATCTAGTTTTATATATCTAGTACATGTATATAGTTTTAGATTCTTTTTACATGCAAATTAAATAGTATGAAAATAATTATCAAAACAAAGATCTAAACAAAGATCCTTTCTTGGGATATATAGTCTCCATACTTACAGGAGGAAAAGTTATCTGATCTAAAGTGATATTTCCCCTCATTTAAACACCACTTCCCCTCTGACATTTGGAAAAAGAATGCTCATGGATCTTAAAAAGATAATCTCTCAACCAGAATAAACATCAAAATAAGAGTGTCTAACCAAACTCCCCATGGAAAGAATAAACTAAACTAAAACTCATTTCATGAATGAGATGACCCCCCCATGATTGTTTCTTATTAAATTGATAAATACCTGGCCAGCTTCTATTACCACTCCATGTAAATCACTAACTTACTAGAGCATTTAATGACTATAATTTCATGAATATATTACTTCTCACAGTGAATGAAGAATGAGTGGGCAGGTTTATCTGAGAGCTACAACACTGAAGCTGGCACCCAGAAGTCCAAGCTCTGGGTGGTGTCTATGATGTCTGATGGAAAGGGGTTCTCTGTGTAGCTCAGCCACTAATCTTAGAAGCAATCAAGAGCAAGTCACTGCAACTTTCCGAAAGGCTTGGCTTCCTCTCCTGGAAATGAAAACAGTAATGCCTGCCTGCCCTCCCTTGTAATGGCTGAGAGGGTCAAGTGCTGGCATGAGGACTTTGAAAACTGTAGGGTAATATTCAGATGCAAGATATTATTCACTGCTACCTGCTTCTGCAACCTCAGCTGAACCAAAATTCCTCTCTTCATCTTTGTATAAAGATAGACATAGGATTAGAACCTCCCAACTACATAACAGATTTGCAAGATTCAATAAAGCCATGTTAAGAAATGTACACAGAAGGAAGGTGCTTTGTAAACTATTTCTACTTAATACAGAGAGCAAAATCTACCACATTACAACTGGGATGGACAGTTAAAGCTATGCAAATAAGTCCCTTCAGGGGTAACATCCCTGAAATAAAATTTTATTGGAAACAAAATACAGTAAAAAAAAAAAATCCCTAATTGCACCAACAATTAGCTTCTCAATTAGTTCTCAAATAGATATGCACTAATGTAGGCCATTGTAAGAATGTATTAAAACAATAAAACTTTTAAAAAACCTAAAACATAAAATGAAATGAGGAATCAGTTCTCCTATGCAGAAATATAAGTGGTCCCCCTGCCCCTGCCTACAGCCGTACCCCCTTACTCTGCACTCCCTTCACCTCCTCCTCGCTTCCTTCCACTGATACTCACCCGAGGTTCAGGTGCTTCAGTTTTTGAAGGCTGCTGATCTGTGTGGGCAGCTCCTCAATCTGGTTATTAAAAAAGTTGAGCACTTCCAAATTCTTCAGTTCTGCTATGTTTGCTGGCACAGCTATGGAGACAAAAATGCCGATTGTGAACACAGGGACCTCACTCCTCGCAAGGAATGCCAGCAACACACTGTATTTTTCTTCATATGAAAGAGAGGTGACCATCCAATATGACCATCTAATTCATGTGTACTTAGTTTCTGTAAGTTTTTTGTAAGTTGTAACTCAACACTGAGTAGAAAGGGAAATGTTTCTTCAAAGGGTAGAGAATTTCTTTGCCATAAACAGCCCATAAGTGAATATTATGAAGCATATAGCGTTATAATTGTTATACAATGTCTAATAAGGGCACAGCTTCCTTCCTTTTGGTTTCCTTGCAGTGAGTGAACTCCAAATCCCTTCCTGAATGACCATACGTTCATCAAGCTGTTTCAATAATCTGGTATCTGAAGAGCTGTTCTCTTCACACTGCACTAAATCACAACAATTTAAGATCAAACTTAAATGATGAAATATTCAACCTACCCAGTCTCCAGTTTTGGCCTCTGGCCTTTGTACCTTGATCAATACACACACACACACACACACACACACACACACACACACACACACACGTACACACGTGTTACATCAGATTAACAACAGATCAATGCACTGTTATTATACAGAAATATAAAAAACCAACTCAACAGTAGCATGATATGAATACTAGTATGCAGATCAAAGGTTAACATAAAACAGTAGGGGCCTGAAAGGTTCTGCCTTCCCAACAGTATATACCTGCAAATACATATTTAAAAACAAAGGCATCTTTACCTCAAAAGTACTAACTCTCAATTGGAAGCAGAAATACTTCCCATAGATTGTACTTAAGTGTCCATTTGCTGATTCAAGCTTTCTATAAACATTTTATTGGCCATGAGCTTGTTGTCCATGGTTCATGCAAACATCAATACCAAGACTATCCAGGTAATTGAAGCCACTGACATGGGCCTTGGGCACAATACACAGTGTTTTGTCTCATGTCAGGACATGTACTTCCCATCCCACCAGCTCCCTCCAGGGAATGCTCCGGACTGCTGAGAAAACACAGAGCACCTTTGCTTAGAACCACAACAAAGGTGTGTGTAAAATTCCAAACAGACATCTAAAATATTTAGAGAGGGCCATTCCAAGAACTCCAGCATGTAACTCCCAGGGGAATACATAAAGAAGACTGGCACACTTGTTCAATTCAGTTTTGGGATATCATTTTCAACTTTATGAAATGTCTAAGGAATCGATGACATGATTTCTTTTAGAGGGAAGAGGCTTGGTAAAAGGTAAGGGAAATGCCTTTTTTGGGAGAAGGGATTGTGAAGAATACAAATCATTCTAGACTAAGGCACTAAGAGGCAGTGATTCAGCCCGGCCGGGCGTGGCTCAGTGGTTAAGCATCGACCTAGGATCCAGGTGATCGGGGTTCGATTCCCGGTCAGGGCACATGCCCAGGTTGTGGGCTCGATCAATGACTCTCTCATCATTGATGTTTCTCTCTCTCTCCCTCTCCTTTCCTCTCTCTGAAATCAATAAAGATAAATTAAAAAAAAAAAAAAGAGGCAGTGATTCAGATGGAAAATGGGCAAGGCATAGATTTGTTAATGAAGTGGCTGGTGGTAGGGGTGGAGACCAAAGCACAGATTTTAATGGGATAATCGAGGCAGCTGGGAATTGCCTCCCCAAAAACACATTCTTGGACACCAATATGAATGCACTGAGTCCTGCCTATACAATTTGACTATAAAAGCACATTTTTAGATGTGTAGTCAACTTTTGTGCCAATGAATGGTGTTCACTTTGTGTAAAATAATCGTGAAGAAAATCAGGCTGTGCCTGCTGAGTCGCCAGGTATCAGCTTACCTGTTCTGAACCTGGACCATGAAGTGTGTGAACTCCACAGATGACAACAACATTGCTCAGAGGCCCACTCCCTCTCCCTGTTCCCCCTCCAGCTACCACAAAGTTTCTCTCCCTGCCTTCATCTGATTAGTTTGAAGAGCAATAAAGAAACTTAGTGCAACCAGGAGAAAATGATGATCCCAATTTAGCCACAAACCAAGAATAATGCAGCCAGAATTACTGCTGCCTTCCCAAAGTTACTTTGCCAATGCAATTAAATGCTGGTCTGAAGGTATCGCCTTTTTGACAGGATGAGAGATTATTTCACTCTCCTTGCTAAATCAGTCCAATTTAAAGCCACAAATTATGCGAAATGTGATTTAGGGCTCTGTTTTGTGGACATAAACAATAACCCCACATTCAATTTACTAACCTCTCCCAGTCTTTTGGTGTGCATGTGAATTGTGTGTTTAAGACTCCATCCCAGCTACACAAGGGGAAAAAATTACACAGTTAATATTCTCCCTAAACTATAGAATTTTTCCTGCAGCCAAAGTAAAAAGCAAAAGAAATTAACATTCAGACCTGTCTGGATGGGATAACATTCGCTCTTTCAACCAATGTTAGCAAATGCTTATTATGTGCACAGCACCATACTTTTAGCACCTAGCATTCCGATATTTTGGGAATAAAGTAAGAGAGGCATACTGTTTAAAGAAAGTAATCTACAAAACAAGGGGTATCAAAGTCGATAAATGGAAACAGGCCTAGTGCTTAGAAAACAAACTAACTCCAACAAAACTGTCCATAAAAAATAACCAGCTAACATAATAAGTTGTGCAATAACTAAACCATGTAGATACATGGCAGGAACAATTTATGAACTGCTGTAATGAAAAGGTGGAGGCAACATGTCACTGGTCAGAATATTCTGGTGGAATTTTTCAAGATATCTATGTGACACATTAGAGAGAAGTAGCATTTTTAAATATAACTAAACAATGACCATCCAGGTATTTCTTATTATGCATCTGTAATGTTCCTTTCTTATCAGTTGGTCCAGATTCTGACTGTGACCCCAGCAGTACACATGTGGCCTACAGACACACGGAGCTTAGCACACCAAAGAGAGAGCAGTGTAATGCAAGGACACGGGAGTCCCGACCTGGCCATATAAGGCTAGCTTTGGCCTTGCCTGATCACCCCTTAAACTCTCCATGTGTACATACTCAACTTCTCTGGGTCTCATTGCTTCCTCCAGTCTGAAATGAGAAGGCTAGATTATGACTATTCCTAAATTCTCTACAGCCTGGCTTTGACATTCTATGATTCTAAGAAGAGCTGGATTATGAAAATCAATGATATGGATTTAAATAATGCAACAAAGGGCTCCCTCAATTAGGAAGCTCAGTCGTGTAGAACTGTGATTACGACAAAGAATTTAGTTTTTTAGTATCATTTTGTGTCTAGCAATGATGGCTGCTTTAATTTTGAGACTTCAAGTTGCTAGATTTGAGAGAAAAGTCCCTAGCTACTCACTGGTGACATTAAAATCATTAACCTAATACACATGTCCCTCATCCCCACACAATTCTGGGTAAGATTATAATAATCAATCTTACCCAAATTAAGACTCCTGTCACTTCAATGAGCTACTGAGCCTGCAGATGGATGAAAGTAAAAAATAACAAAAACAAAAACGAAAGACACTCTATCTAGGTGGCCAATGCACCCAACCTAGAGGCTGCCATCAAACCATTTCCGGTGGACTTCTGCTTCCACACAGACCTTTATGGTGAATCAGTATGGAGTAGTATGGACAGCATTCAAGGGGAGAAAGAACACTCAATTTCCTAGCTCACTGAATTAAGTCACTCCAGCAACTTCATAACACCCAAGTGTGGTCACATGGCGACATGCCACTTGCTATACTTCTGGCCTTTGAAAAGTGGAGGCCTAACTGTAGAATGCCGGGAGGCAGCGACAGCACAGACAGGCCAGCTGGGATGCAGCCAATCCAGGGGCTTTTTGGGCAAAAGCATCTTGTGGCCCCTGAGGCAAAGAAACAAAACTGTGAAGAATGACAGGCTCTGGGAGCAGCAGGCACCAAGTAAAACATAAGGACAGGAGCTCGCCTGTGAGCAGCCCACAGAAGGGCTCTTGGGGCACGCATGGGTCTTCAGAGCCATATGGTCGGCACCAGCAGTCAGGTCCTCTTCAGCTACAAAAGGATGGTAATAGACCAGGCGCCATCTTACCACCCACGGCTCCTGGGGAGCCAGAAGCTGCTCAGAACACATGTAAGTTTTCGTCATAAGCACGGGCATAAAATCTGGAGATGAACTCCATCCACCACCTCCAGCAGACTTCTGAGTACTTAGAAGTATGCTCTGCCTCTGCCCAACTATTTCTGCAGAAGCACCCAGACTGTTTTAGCTCTGGTGATTCCTACAAAGGAGAGGTGCTAGGCTGGGGCATGAAAACCAGGGAACCCTGTCCTCATACCTCTGAAAAATGGAATTCATGGTTCAGCCATTGCCTCCTTCATAGGAAACCAAGGATAGAACTGCGAAGCACCCCTGTACAAGAACAGGAACACTTAATGGGAAGCAAAGGCTGAGAGGGCACATGACCAGTAGTGGACTTGTTCTCCGCGCTGCAATGGGTGAAACGCTGCTATCTTGTGCGCATTTCCAATGACACCAAAGTGCCAAAGACTCATGGACCAAACAAGGCCAAAAGATACCATATACGGGTAGGTAAAGTAAAATGCAGGGAATATCTCAGCTGCCCCAAATCAGACGTAACTTCCATGACTGGGTCATTCAAGACATCTACCTTACTGCAGAATGCTAGCTCTTTGTACATAAAATCAAAAAACAACAACAAAAAACTTCAATTATAAAACAAAACAAAACATGAAGTGGAAACAGACTCATGGATACAGAGAACAGACAGACAGCTGTCATAGGGGAGGGGGTTGGGGGCTGGGTGAGAAGGGTGAAGGGATTAAGCAAATAAAAAATCTCATAGACACAGACAACAGCATGGTTACTACCAGAGGGCAAGGGTGGTAGGGGGAGGCAGAAGAGGGTAAAGGGAGAAAAATGGTGATGGAAGGAGAATTGACTTGGGGTGGTGAACATACAATACACTATAAAGATGATGTATTGTAGAATTGTAC